TCTCCCGAGAAGAGGAAAAGTGGATATTTTGGCATTAGACTCGATCTCTTTGGCTCCGGTTTTTTTTTTTCAGCTCACCTGTGGTTCATTTGGTGACGGGCACGGGAAAGACAAAGTTTTTGGTGGATACTCATTTGTAACCTGGAACCAAAGGATGGAAGATTACTGTATGTTGTACTGTGTATGGAGTATGAAGTATGGAGTAACAGAGTACGCGAGTACGAGAGTAATAGATAATAGAGAGACAAATCCTCCTTCCATAGAGCAGGGGAGATAAAGCTAAACCCAAGACATAAGGGAAATCTAGGTGATGAGCTGTGATAGGCGCTGGGTTGCTGCGGCAAGGGAGCCCGGGGCAACCAGAAAGAAAAAGTATTTGACCCCTAGCAAGCATGTCTATCCTTTACTCTCTATGGTTACTGGTTACTTGGTTACTTTACTTGGTTACTTGGTGAAATAGGAAATAGGAAATAGGAAATAGGAAATAGATATTTAATTTCCATTTTTGTATTAATTGAATACCATACCAGTTCCTTATACTCCGTACTCCATACAGGTTCTTGGATATGGAACTAGTGGTTTTATCTATACATACCTCTCTCTTCATTACCTCGAAATACCTCCAATACCTCGAAATACCTCCAATACCTTGAATACCTTGAATACCTTGATTTTACTCCCCCATCTTCACTTTAATTTCCATCTTAAAATATTAAAATTCTCGATTACCTGAAAATCGGAGCCGCAGTATTACTCAATACTTTGTACATTCGGAGATCCTCCCCACCTGCGTTGCCCATTGCAACAAGCCCATCCCTTCAGCTTCACGGCTTCTTTCTTCAAATCGCTTTGTTCCTACTTTCTCTTCTTCTTCTTAACTACCCTCGACATTCCTCACTCGACCTTGTGAGAAGAGGTTCAATTTTGTTAGTTCTATCGACAATCCCATATCATATTCTTGGACCTTCCCCTCAGTCCTGCAGCACCCACGAGCTCCCCCCGACCCCTCCAATCACGACCGACAGATTCCCCAAATTCACCAAATTCACACCCCCAAAATCCTCCGAAATCTTGTCATGGACCGATAAATCCTACATTCTTACAAAATACAACTCTCGCCGTTGGTGGTTAGGGTCTGGGACCTAGGTTTTTTTTTTCCCGGACTGGTTGTCACGGCGATCGTGGGGACCCATAACGTTGAAATTGCAAACGTGGAGACGTGCGTTTGAGACTTTTTTTTTTTGAACCTCAGTGTGTAGGACCTAGTACTGGGTAGACATCTGTGGCTAGGGCCTGATTGCCTCTGTTCCATCTGTTCCGGTTGCTTTGCCAGACAAACTGTACAACGTCGGGCTTTTTGGTCTAGTTCCAATTCGTCACCGGCTATGGAGCACTCTTCACCTCTCGCTGCGATGCAGCCTCCGTCAGTCATGTTCGGCCATTGCTTTAGGTCAGAGGGACCGACTTCTTACTCCCTGGGTTCAATGTCCGGGTTTGGTGGAAACCCGTTCAATTTCAAGGAATTGTCCATGAAGAAGTCTAGTTCGGACTACTTCAACATGAAACCCGTTCGGGGTTCTTCCCCCACAGCTAGTTTGGCTGCTGATCTTTCTCAGAACTTCCATATTGATCAGAGGTAAGTGGAGGTTGCCATGATCGTTTCATGTTCAAAGGAACAAAGCCCGGCTAACTCTATATTTAGTCCTCAATTAGCCACACCACGGCGGTCTTTGTTCACAGCCAGTATGCTTGGTCAAGCCAATGGACGTGGTAAGGAATGGCTACCACAATGACAGGGAAGAGTTACTGATCTGTTTTATAGACGATGTGATGACCACCCCGCCGCTTCCATCGTCTTCACCAGCTCCGGCCATGGACGTTATGGAAATGTCCCCACTACCTCACAAGCCGGCGTTCTTTGTCACTGCTGAGATCGAGATACAGTCTCCGACACCCGTCGGTAGTCCGATGGAATCACCAATGGTGTCTCCGCTACCAAGCCCTCTGCAAGCGTCTCCAATGGAGTCTCCTCTATGCCCATCTGAGTAAGTGCACGTGATATTCAGCCAGCCACCAAATCAGTTCCGCTAACATGACTTTCTATCTGACAGGAGGAAGCGGCCCACTTTCCTGCGTCCGAGTCTGGCCAGGAGTAAGGCCCAGTCTTTCCAACTTGGTATGACCCGGCCTGCACCAGAGAGCAAAGCACCGCCCTTCCGCTTTGGGACTGGAGCGAAGACATCTCTCAGCACGTCCACTTCGTTGGAAGATATGTTTGGAGACTCACCGCCTCATGAGCGTCCAATCTCTCGTAACAATTCTTCAACTCACCTAGCTCCGCCCCGTATGCGGCCGTCCCTCCATCATGCCCGTAGCAGTGGCTCGCCCGCTCCCAGTTCAATCCGCAAACCCTCTCACTCTTTGATGCGTCCCCGCAAGCAGTGCCGCCGATCACTGAGCATGTTTGAGAACCCAGCAGATGTTATTGCCGATAAAGAGGCCAAGGTAGCGACAAATACACCCGTCCAGTCCATTAGTGACATTTCGAGTCCGCCCAGCATGAAGCTGCCTCACTTCATCCCTGAGGATCGTGCGGACTCTCTGCCTCGCATCGACAAGAGCACTCTTCTGGAACTCATGAACGGCAAGTTCAACGACCAGTTCGACAACATTCTCATCATTGACTGCCGCTTCGAGTACGAGTATGAGGGTGGCCACATCACTGGCGCATTGAACTATAACGACAAGGAACGCCTCGCCGGTGAACTCTTCAGTTCCCCCCAGGCCCGCACCGCGCTTGTCTTGCACTGCGAGTACTCTGCCCATCGGGCTCCCATCATGGCCAAGTACCTGCGCCATCATGATCGCGCCATCAATGTTGATACTTACCCTCACCTGTCATACCCTGACATGTACATTCTGGATGGTGGGTACAGTTCATTCTTCGCCGAGCACCGATCATTCTGTTTCCCTCAGAACTACGTTGAAATGAGTGCGAAGGAGCACGAATTTGCCTGCGAGCGTGGACTTGGCAAGGTCAAGCAGCGCTCCAAGCTCAATCGTGCCCAGACTTTTGCCTTTGGTGAACAATCCCCACAAATGGAGGACAGTCCGACTGGCCGGTGCCGACTTGGCGACAACGAGCGAAACCGCTACCTAAGCTCTCCATTCTCGCAAAGCCCAGTCCCTGCCCGAACCCCCGGCCGCCGCATGCTCTCCTACTAAATCCACTCGCCAGTATCTTTCTTTCTTTCTTTTTTTTTTTGGTGCTTTGCATTTTCTTGCATCTTACGGCCTTTTTTTCTTTCTTTTTTTTCGTCTTGTCCTTGGAGCGTGGTGTTTGGCTGATGCATTCCAAGATGCTTTTACGGCGGCTTTTTCTTTTCTTCTTGTCCTCAACTTCTCTCGACCATTTCAGTCCTGTTGAGGTCTGATTTGTGTTGGCGTGCTGGATCACCTGCGCTCTTCACCTTTTTCCTCATCTCTTTGATACCTGCTATCGGTATCGTCCTCTCCTTCGCTGACCCTGTTTACCTCACGGGTTTCTGCTTTCCCCAACATTTCCTTTGCGTGGCATGTTGCCACATCTCTCTATGACCATCGCCCATGATCTCCTCTGGGCAATCGACTCTCATGACCCATTTGAATCTGAGTGTCCCATTTCATATGTCTATTTACGACCTCGCAACTTCGAACACCGAAAATGCGCACGAAGACGGCCTACCATCGCCAGATTTCCATTTTCTCACCCTTCTCCCGTGGGTCTTTTCTTTTTCGAAAACAATACCCCCCAAACGACGATTTTCATCAAACATTTTGCCGACCCTTTGGCATGTCCTTTTCTCCCCGAACATTCTTTTGACACCATTATCGCCCTTTAATCCACTATTTGGTCCTTCTTTGTACAGACTTTCTTCTGTGGAATAATCGTCATTCTACGCTGTACCAAATTTGCATCTCGATGCTCAACGCCAGTCTCTTCACTGGTTCAATTCTTCGCCAGGAGCATTTGTATTTTAATGCATTGTCCGATAATACCCCCCTTTGAACTGTATCATTGGGGTCGTGCGGAGGATCTTGAGGATGTAATATTGCATCGAGTGTGACTTTACAGCTGTACATAATGAGGATTGCCTGTGTATTACAGGCGATTTCTCTCTGGATGTGTTTCCTGAGCTTTTAATGGTCTGGAAAGGGTAATCGGAGGAGACAACCAGTTCACAAATGTTTGATTTCCTTTTGTGAGAATGAAAAAAAAAAAACAATTTCAAAATAACTCCCAAGTCGCTTTTAAATTTCTCTAAAAATGATCGACATAATTCGTTAATGAGGATTGTCGTTTCAAGTGTCCCTGGTGAATGTGATAGGTGGAAAGCCGGGGAGAACTATGGGGATGTGGATGTGCCTGTCTGTGTGTCAACCCGGTCCCTGTCCCTGTCCCTCTTCAAACTGCTGTTTCAGCAATTTCGCCCTTCACACTCATTCAAGCTTCAAGCTTCAAGGCTTTTCTCCCAAAGGCAGTGCCCATTGGACTTCTGTTTCGAGACCCTGCGCCTCATTGTTTCGTTTGGAATCCGCCCCCCCGGCTCTACAGTCTTACTCTCTCTCTCTCTCTCCCCCTCCAGTCTTTATTTGTCAAATGTTCTATTTTGGTTCTATTTTGGTAACTTGCTGCCTGTTCGACCCACCGTCTTGAACTAGCATCTACAACATTTACTACGAAGTATATCTTCGCTCATTGATGTTGAAATATTGAATCTACTCTGTCACTTCGCATTTACTCTATTATCGCTACAATCGGACTCGCGCCCCGCCCCCTCTCGCTACCTCCGCACCTAGCACGATTGTACATCTCACTCATTCGCGCTACAATTTACTCACACTGGACTGTGTCTGGTTTTCTTTACACTAGAAGGATCTTGCCTAAGGCTGATTTACAGCCATTGGCAATCGGATGATCCCCCTTATAGCGCCTTACGCATCCGCTATCCATTTCCAAGATGAGTCCAGCAAATATTACGCTATGGGTTCGAGACACCGCGAGTGATCTCGAGTCGGTTCCAAGCACCTTTTCCAGCTGGGACTCATGTATGGACAAATCGTACTGCAAGTGAGTTCTTCCTGAGGGGTGCGCGCCCTCCCTTTCTATTTGCGCATGGCCTGATATGATACTAATTAACTGGCGCAAGGTGGCCTGTCATTGTTGGTATCATCATCGGTTCGGTAGTTCTACTCGCCGTATTAGGTTGCATCGTCAATTGTCTCTGTTGTGGCTATCAATGCTGCAAATGCTGCTGCAGTTGTTGCTGTCCGTCAGGCAGGCGCAGAAACAAAACGCCTAAACACTTTGATGACCCTCCGTTCCACCAGCCTCCTCCACCAGCTCCGAATCCGGTCTATCAAGCGCCACCAGCCCCACCCGCATATCGTGGTGCGCAACAGACTGCGCATTTCGATGCGCCCAAGTCCCCGGCCGCTCATGTCAATGAGGACGCCCTGCCTGAGATGCCTACCTGGGCCGGTGCCATTGACAAGCATGTTGAAGACCCAAATCATCACGACGACGTCGAAATGGAACCATTGAATCCCCCAGACCGGAGGCAGGGTGCTGGTACACCTGGTGCCGCTTATGCTGACTATCCCCCCAACCCAGCCATGGGCGCGGCCGCCGTGGGATACAGAGGATTTGGGCCTACCGATCCGCGTGCACGACGGTCTCCCGGCCCGGGAGCAGCTTTGAATCCCATACAAGACCCCTATGGCCGACGTTCGCCGGGCATGCCTTCCTCTGGGGCGGCCATGGACCCATATGGGAGAAGATCCCCGGGCCCGGCGGCACTTGCTGCCAAGGATCCATACGGAAGACGTTCGCCCGGCCCAGCAGCAGTGTTGGCTGTCAGTCAAGATCCGTACGGGCGGCGCTCGCCGGGTATGTCACCCTCAGCCCCAGCAGCTGGCTATGGCGCCGCAGCGCACAACCCATACGGTTCGCACTCTCACGGCGCTCCAGTGCACAACCCTTACGACCAGCAACCATACCAAGACTCCTATCACGACCACTCCTATGACGACCACTCCTACGGCGCAGGCAACGACTACCACGCAGTGACCGCACCCTCGCCCGTGGCTGCATACAAGCCGCACACCAACTACAGCCCCGTGCCAATGGCCTTCTCCCCATCCTCGGACATAGATCATTCCGCAGCGGCCGTAGCCCCAACACCAGGCTTCCAGCGCCAGCCATCTTTCGGCTCTAGCCAGTATCCCCCCACATACACCTCCCAGCCTTCATACCGCGCCTTCTCCCCCGGTGCTCCTTCTTCGCCCCCTCCTGCTTTCTCGGCTCCTTCGCCTTCAGAGTACACTACCTATAACCCCCACGCCAACACCACTCCCATGCCCGAACCCGACAACACCAGACCTCCAAGTCTGTTGCAGAGCGGTAAAAAGCCCACCGTCAATGCCTATAGCAACTTTTGAGTATGACCCTCGTCGATCGAGGCGGTTTCATGAACAGAACTTTTCCTTTTCTTTTTTTCCCCTCTTTCTCTCTTCTCTTCCCCCTTTTTTAGATACCATTCTCAGGCTGTATTGATCTTCATTCAACTTACATGTTTACGTACCATGCATGACCCCGGGCTAAATTTGGCTTGGAATTAAAGAGTTCTCTCTTCTTTCATGATTTCTCTCACTTGCACTCTTGTGCATCATCGAGCCAGCTTTGTTCGACTCGTTTGATAGTCCTGTAATGCAGCCTTTCAGGGGATGAGCGTTTTTGCTTAGTAGGAAATGTCCCGCTCTTTGATTCATCTTGATAGAATTGATGATATTCCGACTGATCGGCGTTCTAGATTGTTGATTGGGCATATGTTGGGTTCGGACTATATAGACCTAGGGGAGGCAAGTAACAACAATGTATAGCCACTTGACTGGCCTTGCGCTAGAACCTGTGAATTTGAAGTTAAGTATCGAGGGATCCCGATCCCGGCCTAGTATTGCTAGGCGGCGATTGGATGATCACACATCGTAGAATCGAGTATCCGAGTATAGCCCAGCAGGTTGGCATTGCTAGAATCTTTGTTGGGAGCATTGTCAAGACATTTTCCTTTATGATTTCCATCTCTAGCCGAAACAGCCTGGGAAAGATGCATTAATATGGGTATCTCTTATATGCGTTCCGCGTGGGATCTGTAAAATTTGTGAATTTTGGCTTCAATTTTGAACTCATTTGTCACATTTCGTCGTACTTTACACAAAGGGGGAGATTCCCGAAGACACTCCCCGTCGAAAGATCCCTTGATCACCATACCACACCACACATGTGTCATGTGTGAACCGGGAAGAGAAGAAGAAACTTGCCGATCTCAAATTTACTCCTCAATCTCCATCGCAAAATCATGTTTCTTGAAAGCCTCCTTGAAAGCCTCCGCATCCTTCGTCTCCTCGTCGTCTGTCTGCACACAATCCCTCCAGTTAATACGCTCATCTAGATAGAGCACCTTACCCATAACCCGACGACCAAATTGCAAATCAAATCGGTTCTCAGGCAGAATTTTCAACATGATAACATTCTCCTCTCCAGATTCAGTCTTCCAAACGCCTTTGTGCTCAGGTGAAGACCAATTATCGGGTTCGGCTTCGGCTTCAGTGCTAGGGGTAGGCGTCCAAATAAACACTCGGAAATAGTCAATCATATGGTGATTGTGGATTTCGTCGGGGTTTGGCACGGTCTTGAACGTCGAATATTCCAGGTTCGAGGCTTCCTTCTTGAATGCCATTTCCACAAGCCGGGAGCGGATCTTCTCCACTGGCATCGGTAGAAATTGCCAATGTGTGTGGATACCGTTTGAGCGGCTGACTTCCCATGTGACAGCACCCAGCTTGCCCCCTGATTTCTCGTTTAGCATTTGGTGCAGGGACTCGCGGTACCGTTGCATCTCGGCGAAGGTCGAGGCTCGGATGGCCGGGTCGAAGATTAGGTCGATGGTCGGGCAATGTTCGAAGGGGACGATGAGCATATGGCCTGGGAAGCCGAGGGAGGCGTAGAAGTTGTTTGTGGGCAAAGGCCCTTTGGCAGTGGTGACATAGCTGTCATTGCCGATTGAGGTGATGAGATGGGTGGCGATGTTGGGATTCGAGAGACAGAAGAAACAATTCTCTGGCCCTGGCGGAGGGGCGCGTTCTTTGTGTCGGCGTTGGTGTCCCGGGTCTCTATCTCTGTCGGAGGGAGCGTACCGCTGGTATGATTCATTTTGACTTGGAAGCATTTTGCGCCTGCTTTGCACCGCTGACCAAGGGCAGATGGTGGAGCCTGGGGAGATACTGTTTGGTAAAGGTGCTGTTGGGTCCAAGGTAAAGGCATAGATAGCATTTTTCGTCGAGCCGAAAGCAGGCAATGAGATAAACCGAGTGAGTGGGTAGACATCTTGACCCTCTTCCGTTGGCATGTGAAAGAAGGGTTCACGCTCGAAGAAAGCACCGTCTGACCGAGAAAAGTGATAACGGGGTTTCAGAGTCGCGCAGACATCAGCAAGGCATTGTAATTCAGATGGCACAGTCTCCTTGTCTCCAGAGACATTGCAGCTAGATCCTAGACGGACATCCTTCGGCCATTGATTGGTGATAAGAATGTCGGTTTTGTGAATTCCAAACAGTGCACGAGCATCGGATTCACTGTATGTCGGCTGGAACTTGCCGCTAGCATTGCTATCGGGTTTGGACCTACCCTCTGCCTCTCCCATGGTTCCACCGAGTGCGACAATGCGGATACCATCTGTTGTCTTCAAGGTTCCTCGCTTTCCCAGGAAGAACAAGTTGGGACACACTTCATCATTTGCTTCAATCTTTTCGACCACTTGAGGGGGAAGTGGTCGGTTACCAAGGGTGAAGTAGGTTGGGCATGCCACAGTGATGTTCCCCTGTATCAAGGCGGTAATATCTTCAAGCTCGTCTTCAGCCGAGCCATCACCGAAGAGGTCGCCAAGAATGATCGCAAAGGAGAAATCCTGTTTTGGCTGCAGCTTGGCTAGCTTAGTGAACACGGGCCGTATCTGACCGTTCAAGCTGCCAATAACAATACTACATATGGATTTGGTCAGTGGCTGGAATACATGCAGACCTGAACATACATACCATTTGGGAGCCATTTTTGGGTTTGTCTTGGTGGTAGGTTGAGTTGGTACTGGAAAAAGTTGAAAATTTTTGATGGAAAGTAGATAAAAAGATGGTAGAAAGGTGGAAGATAGGAAGACGAAGGACCCCAAAAAGGATGGGAGTTTTTCTGACTCTCAAACTATCCAAAGATGCCACCAGAGATCAACTACATGCGACTAGACGCAGGATAGAACATCTCGGGTTCTCGAAAGCAGGAGCTTGGGCCATTCTTATCAACACGTGACACACTTAGATATCATCTTCGGGATAACGAAATCCCGCCCCGAAGAACTTTTTTGTATTCCATGCGGATCAGCCAAAAAAAAGTGACCAGTACCTTTCTCACGAACAGTGCTGCTCGTCAGACCCGTCAAGATGGTGGGGACAGGCTCAAAACCAAAGCCTGTTAGGCGCCTGAAAACGGGCACCGAAACCACAAAAAACCACAGATTCGAGGGCTTTTCATCACGCATCACCAAGCTCAAAATCGACCCGATCCACCGCGTGCGCCGCGCCAGTTTCGGCGAAGATGAAGACGAAACATCCTCTTATTTCCGGGCAGCTCTCGATCACTGGTTCGAGATGAACCTTTCAGACAACTTTACACAATTCGTACGGCGTGTCAACCCTCTTTCCGAGAGCTTTGCGCAAGTTCTGTATCATGAAGAAAAAATTATGGGTCTATTGGTGGAATTCATCGAGAAGAGAGACCAGCTCTCTATGGAGCCGCTATTGAGTTTGCTTGCGCAATTCGCTCGGGATCTGGGCGTCAAGTTCGAAAAACATTTTGCTGCGGCAGTGACACTGGTGTCGTCCGTTGCGGCAACACATCCCGACATTGAAGTCGTTGAATGGAGTTTCACCTGTCTTGCATGGATCTTCAAATTCCTTTCTCGTCTGTTGGTGCCCGACCTGCGACAGTTGCTGAGCATCATGACTCCATATCTCGGAAAAGAACGACAAAAGCCATTTGTGGCGAGGTTCGCCGCTGAGTCGATGTCGTTTCTCATCAGAAAGGCCGGCCTTGTTTATTACAAAAATAAAGCACCCCTTGAGACTGCCGTTTCATTCCTCTTCGACGATATCTCGAAAGCTGCCGACGACGACAAGGATACCGAGAACTACAGGGAAGGACTGATGACCATGTTCTCCGATGCTATCAGGGGAGTCAACAACGGGCTTCATTCCAATGGCATGGATATCCTCAATTGTGTTCTAAGTCAGATCCCGCCAACCAGTGGAAATCACAATGATCCTGCAGAAGTTATATTTGGTCTAGTCGTCAGTCTTGTCCACGCCACGACTCCCGATACCTTCGGACCCATCCTCGACACAGTCAAGGCTTATATCGAAGATCGCTCAAAATCAACCCCGAATCCAAATCTTTCAGAGTGCTGCCGTATAATGTTCCTACTTGTGACAACTCGCAAGGGTGTCAGAATCCAAAATTGGAAGATCGTTCATCAAATCCAAGTATCCCTGCTTCAACAGGTGTCGACGTCTGATGTATCATCAGCAACGATATCACAGATCCTTACAAGTGTCGCATATGCCCTTCAAATGTCACCCATGGACGAGTTGCTACCTTTCCTTCGCCCTATTGTGGACCTGGTGTCCACAGGGCCGCTTGCAAAATACTTCCTATTCTTCTGCACAACATTCTCAGAGTGGGGATCAGAGCGATTCCAGAGCTTACTTCTCTCGCCTTTCCAGAAGTTTATCAACTCATCATGGCAAAAGTCAGAGTGGGAGACTTGTTTCACCCTGCTACGCCTGCATGAGGCTGGTTGCATCACCTCCGAGACCTCGCAACCTGGCTACATTTCCTGCCCAGATGCGTTCAAATCTCGCATCACTGATTCATTGGAATATCCTACAAAAGATGAAGCCTTCTTGAATGCGCTGGTGAAGCTTCCAGTCACCATCTCTTTGTTTGCAGATTCTGCTACATTGTCTAAGATGGTTTCTAAGTTGCATAGTAACCTCTTATCAGCGTTCCAAGATGGTGCAGCTGAAGGCAATAACGCCCAGACGAAGGGCTTGGTGTTTTTCCTTGGTCAAGGATTCAAGACATATGTCGAACTCGCTAACAAAGTTGGAGAGCTTGACTCGAATCTCTTGAGACCGATCATCGCCACTGCCACAAAATTCTCCCGCCTGCCAGTATTTTTGGAGGGTGCACTTGCTTTCATTTCCTCCCTCCCAGAGTCCGCGGACCTTGAGCATCCCACCCTGGAAGACTTTGCTCAAGATTTAATTGTGAACTTGGCAAGCCCATCGCACAGGCTGAGGCTGGTATCTCTTCAGCTCCTACGGGAATTAATTGT